AATACACATATGAACATTCCTTAGGTGCATATGGAAGATTGGAGGTGATTGTAACCCTCTTGGAATGGCAGAAGTCTGTCGGGGAAACACGGGCTCTGAGGCTATACCGTGGACTTTACACATATGGGAACCACTTAGGCCTCTACATATGGAACCCAGCCCTCTACCGGTTCTCACAGATTCAGCGAGTGATTTCTTCGAACGCGAACCACAGAAATGGTCTGTGGCGCAGAAGGATCGACACATGAAAGTACACATCCTTCAGGTCGATTTCTGCAAACCAATCTCGGATGGATGCACCCGAAGAAATAGCTTCACAAAGAAGTCACTCAAAAAGAGCAAAAATAATGTATATTTAATATAGAGATTTCCATGGCCTGGAAATTTAACATAAATGTTATTATATGTTTTGTATTTGCATGGGAACCCTGCTGATAGACTCTTTGTTGTTACTGGTTTAACTTACATGCTCAACTAACACTGCTGACTGCAGGGGCATGGAGAACTCTGAGTTAACAAGTTAACAGTAACTTGAGGTCTGTTATGAACTCAACACCCAGTGCGCCAAACAATAAAATTCAAGGCTTACATAAAAATCGTCATTGCCATATTTAAAACCAAGTTTTACTTTGCATGGTCAAGGTAAATTTGGTCACCCACTGTACTGTATTGTACTTTATATTTAATTATTGTCCAGCCCTAGTTAGGATCTCCCCATAACATCTCTGTGTTTCACAGAAGAAAGACATACAGGTTTGGGTGACATGAGGGTGAGGGTGGTATAAATAATAACAGAAATATAGCTAGTTTTATTTTTTTAACCTAACATGGATCGCAACTATAAGCTCTTAAGACTTCACTCAATTTCCATGTAAACCCCTGTATTCATATCGGCTGGAGGGACCGGCTCTATCACATCCTTCGCCAGTAGGGCTGCGATCTCCGCACGCAAGACAGGAGCATTGGCCGCCTTCACTGTCGTGAAGCGGATGTCACTGAACTTGGGGGGATCCCGGGCGAACTGAATCGCATAGCCGAGGCTGATGGCCTGCAGAAGCCAATGAGACGGGTTGGGTAGCGCTAGCCGGGCACCCAGATACCGTGCAAGTGGGATCAGCGGAACCACCGCCGTACCCGCAGTGGGGCAGCAAGGTGGAATGCAGGGATTCAACTCGGGCGGCTTGTGAGCGGACCCAAGAGGGGTCTGAGTGTGCGGTGCAATGCTTACCTGGTTCCAGAGTTTGGCAGAGGGTGCGTGAGTAGGGTCTTTGTTGACGCTCTCGAACCGCCGGCTGCTGCCTGCTGGCGATGGAGCAGGATGAGTGCAGTCCGGTGTTGGTCCGTCCACGACTCTCCGTGCCCTCCTGGGACCTAGGGACAGAGAAAACCGCTCTCTCGTCGAGATTTTCCAGATTCTCCACCCGACCCTACTCCGGGGGAGGGAGAGGTGCCTTCACCAACCCCCACAGAGCAGATTCCTCCCTCTCTGGGTCACCCGTCCCGGGGCCTCTAACTCTTTCGCTCACCGCCAGGTTTGAGAGGGGCCTGGACGGGTGGGGCGGCCTGCCTACGCCCAGCTCACTAACACTGCTGACTGCAGGGGCATGGAGAACTCTGGGTTAACAAGTTAACAGTAACTTGAGGTCTGTTATCAACTCAACACCCAGTGCGCCAAACAATAAAATTCAAGGCTTACATAAAAATCTTCATTGCCATATTTAAAACCAAGTTTTACTTTGCATGGTCAAGGTAAATTAGGTCACCCACTGTACTGTATTGTACTTTACATTGAATTATTGTCCAGCCCTAGTTAGGATCTCCCCATAACATCTCTGTGTTTCACAGAAGAAAGACATACAGGTTTGGGGTGACATGAGGGTGAGGGTGGTATAAATAATAACAGAAATATAGCTAGTTTTCTTTTTTTAACCTAACATGGATCGCAACTATAAGCTATTCTCATCATCATCAGCTCTGCCTGAGAGGAGAATTCCAGCATGAGCCCACCAACATGGATCTTACACCTCCAGACAGGACACAATTCTCCCGGTTAGTGGCCAGTCTGTGTTTTACATTCTCCTGAACATGCAAACACGAGCCACACGAGGGGCTCTACTGATTCATATACACACTGACACCCAGAACGACACCCAATCATCACCGTCAAGTTTAAATGACTACACACCCACCTAAGGGTGTGAGATATTTATCGTCTGCGACAATTTCGGAATTGTTGTAGGGGTATGTAGGGGGACTGTATTCAGAAATGTCTTTTGCATTTGCTTTGCCTCTTACCTCCATATAATGCATTTTAAAGTAGTGTTTATAAGCGCAGCTGCTTTGTTTACAGTGGAAACCAAGGAAACTCTATATCGCTGCAGTTCCATAAGCGCCACCTGCTGTTAGAGAATAAATTGTACATTTTCATTTAGTCCGTCTGCTTTTAGTTTTGTGCAGGTGTCTTATGCAGCATAAGTTCACAAATCTGAAGTCAGACTATTCTGGTTTTGCTTTAAATCTTGAAATTATACAATCTAAATAAAAAACAACTGCTCATGCTACAAGTATAGCACAACTGTCTTTTCAAAATAAATAAAAAAAAAAAAACATTTTCTGTTATAATAAACTCGTATCAAACCGTGAACCCAAATCTGAGGTACGTACCGAACCGTGACTTCTGTGTAACGTTACACCCCTACCAATAAATGTCATTTTTTGTCAAAATCGCCCACCCCTACATCCACCGCGACATACATAAAGAGGACATGAGTTCTGGCATAATCTAATAAACATAGACAGACAAGAAGAAATGACTGAAGCTAACAGCACCTGAACCAGCGTGCCAAATGCCATTAGTTTTAGCACAACACATGCCAAATATACGCCAAAATCATAAAACACAGACACGTTTTGTTCTAACTCAGTCCCTTCCAATTTTTATTTGCTTGCAAGTGACTTCAAAAGCCATTTAAAATGAGAGTGAATTAAATAAACCGGATGCTTATGAAATCTGAAAGCTACAAAATGTGTTTGGCCCACAAGGGGCTTTCTAATCTAGTCTAGAGTGGCACGTAAGTACGGAGAAGAAGAAAAAAAAACTCCTCTGTATTTATAATTCAGCTCCTTTAGAAGCAAATCTTGACATAGACAATTCAGAAAAACTGCACATATCACACGGCACAGTTTAATTAAAATATTACCTGTTTTTAACCTTCAAGTAGACACTTTCACAAAGGACATGCAGAAGATGTACAGGATGCACAGGATGTAAGATGTGGATGTGCCATTGCTGCTGTTAGATGATACCAGACAAAGAATAATATTACATTTTTTGCAGTGATCAATGTCTTATCTGTATAGATATGCAGGATCATTGTGGTGGTGAAACTTTTCTTCTGTCTGCTTTTATCCGGCTGAAGTTACACTGGCGGAAGCAGTCCCGGTTTCAGACAACATGCCACCGTCCATGGCACATTTTGATATTGCATGCTGGTGAAAAATGCTAGTTTTAATCTGATTGGCTGAGCACATGTTGATTTTTTTAGACAGCTTCGTGTCGTTCTGTCCATTCCAAACGATAGCTTTGTGAGAGTGACACACCAAAGTTGAAGTTGTTACTTGCTGAAAAACATTCTTTTTGCAGTAGCTCTCATTTCTCAGTTGTGCTTGTGTAAACTGGGCTTGTTACAATGAGTCAAAGCAGGTTTGACGTCAAACATCATCGGTTCTTATGTGGCAGGTTTAAATATGTGCAAATGCCAATAGTCTTTTGAGAGCTATAATAAAATAAAATAAAAAGTTTGTAATAATACGAGGGAGAAAAATAATGACAGAATGTTTATTTCTTTGTTCATCG